ACCTTAAAGCTGCAATTTATATAAAATCTGGTTTAAACTCTTTTCTTTTTCTTACTTTTTTTATTTTTGTCCTTTGGTTTCTTTACTAACTATTGTTACAAATTTCATACTTCCATACTTTGGTGAAGTGATATAGGTTCAACACTGCCTATGGTAAAACTAATGGCTAAAACGGAGGAAAAACATTGTTGACTTTAGTCTTTTCGTAAATTTTTATTATAACAAAAATAATTTTCGTGATAAATAATATACACCTGAAAATAAAAATAAAATACTAAAATTATATCAAAATAGTAGAATAAATAATCATACGACTCAATAAGACTACAAGAATAATTTACAATGACATGATGAAAAAATTAAAGATCTGCTAAAAAGTTTTAAGGATATGACATTTGAGCCTAATATAACCCCAAAAGCTAGCTCATATGGAGAGATTTGTTCAAATTCATATAAATAGATCAAATTCACATCTTTCTACCAACGTGAGATTTTTTAACACTACTCAACATCGATAAATATTAAATTAAAATAAAATCTAACTCTAATATCATGTAAAAATATAACAGAAGGCTTAACTTAACCCTAAAAATGAACTCATAAAATATAATGATAATATAAATCAAATCTAAATCTAAAACGAGGATATAATGATAAAAAGGAGTTTATTATTAAGTTGACATGATCATGAGATGGCTGGCCTTCACCAAAAGACAAGCACGTGCATAGATTCATCAAAGTTGGTGAAAATCACAAAAAGTAGAACATTTTTTAAGTTATAAAATTGAATACAAAAATAACAAAATCTCAAAATTTGGAAGTCCACCCACATGTTTACGTCAGTCTCTCTTTAATTTTTTTGTGCATTGGATCCTTCGCCGAAGGAGAAGTAATATTATCAAACAAGCAACTCCCACACTCTCTCACACACGCATAATTAAATACAATAAAGTTTTAACTTCTCTCCCTATATATCAAATTATATATCGTGTTAACTTAAAAGTAAAATTAGTATACCGATAACGTAAATATCAGTAGCATTAAATGAAATTATATCGATTATAATTTTCAATAATGTAATATAGCAAGTAGAAATTAAGAATGGTACATCTCTCATCGCCTATCACATAAGAACATGTTGACATAAAACTTTAAAAATGTACACTACACTTTATCTATTAATTTTAAATTTTAATATAAAATCGTAACTATAGACAGACTAATCAATAACATATTATAATAGGTTAAACTATAAAATTATTAAGTATATAATAGTCTCTATTTCTTTCTCGATCCCACTTTTATGCTTTTTATTCTTCTCTTTTTTCTTATAAGTTATTGCGCCGGCATATCTTTCTAGGTTGTTGCTTCTTCTTGTTTTCTCCCCTCTTTTATCTTCCTATTCTTATATTTATAATTTAACTCATATTTAATGATGGTTGTGGATTCCCAAAATGGATGTCAAAATATAGCAAGCCAAACACAAGAAGAAGAAGATGGATGGAGAACTCCAACATCAAAGGAACATAAAATACCAATGAAATGTCCAAAAGCTCCAAGAAAGGCCAAGTCATCATCAGTTGTTGCAACTAATACTGTTATCACAAAGAGAAGGAGGAGAAAAGTGTTTTTTGATGTTTACAATGAGGAAGTTGAATTACTCTTTCCTCCAACGTCTCTACTTGCAAATCTCATCAACAAAATCACCACAACGACTTAGATCATTAATTTTGTGATGTACGTACATCTTAATCAATTACTCTAGTATGTTATGTATGTAATTAGCCTCTTAATTGTATTCTAACATGATTATTCCACATCTTTCCAATGTTTATCGACATTGATTTATGTCGTCCCTAAAGTATATCTCATTTAATTAACCTAAGATTTTTTCTATCGCGAATCATTTCACAGGAAGGTAGGAACATATCAACTACAAGAAAGATTCCTAACTTTTACGTGTGAAAAAACATTATTATTTTTTTAAAATTTATCATTGATTCAATCAAATATATAACTAATTGAAAAATTTATTAGGACACTAGCGACCTTTTATTTGAGTTTATCTTTTAATTTGCACATTGTAATTTTCATTGAGTTAAATTATATGGACAATTGTGTAAAAAAATTTACATCACCATCCGGTCATATTAATTATCATCAACTCATGTTGTATACTTGTTATAAGTTTATAACTGTCTTATTTTAAATATAAAAATTAAGTAGTATTTAATTTTAAACTCATTTATTACTCTTCGATATCAATTGGACTATACACAATAATGTAAAAATTAATACATAAATATGTAAATAACTTAACACTTAAATTTCCATTATATTTATTCAGAAATTAAAATTGCCAGCCGGCCAATCTCAATTTACAGCAACCTATAGCCACATATTTTTTGGCCATTGGTAATTTTATTAAAAGAAAGAATCTTATGATAGTAATTATTAATTTGAGTTGTCATGTGGGATGAAGATGGAGAAACACAGACAGCAATTGACTTCACCAGGATGCAAACATAAAGCTTACATGCTTTATAATTTACATCTTTGTTTTATACGTACTAATTTAATATTAATACTACTTTTCTCTGTAGATGTATTTTTTTGGCTGGCCTCACTTAGACTCATCATGACTTTTTCATCTTTTTGTTCTTTAAATTTCTCACCACACATCTATATAATCACTTTAGAGTTCGACTTATTAAAAATCATACGAAACGAATTTCATTTGCTAGTAAAATGCTAGCTATAGCTATCAACAATATTAGTGTGAACACTCTTAAATGTGAAAGTTTCGTACTATAATTACTTGTGAGATTCTAGCAGTGTGTTGGATGTTTCAATTGTACATGATTCGAATTTGAGCAAGTTGTGCTGATTTTTTTTTATTCTTCCTATTTTAGCTAGAGATATTTTTGTGTCGCATTAAAAAATGGTTATTAAAATATATATGGATCCAAAAAGTGGCTACAACAGTTGAGGCAGGCAGGGTCAAAAATGGTACACTGGAGGATTGTGAACAAAATATGTGCAATTCAAAGGGAACTTAATATAGACACAATTTTAACTTTGAAATTCTATATAACTTGAATTTATACTATACCGATTAAACACGAGGTCCAAAACTTGGATTTTTTGAAATGAAATCCAAGCTACATAGATGGAATGGTTAAATCACTACTAGAAAATAAGAAATGGGCGAATGACAAAATTTTGTAGCTAAATAATTAAAATCTCATACTAATCCCTCTTAGCAACGAATTAGCTAGGAATTTTCAAAAACTTTCATAACTAATTTCATGTTTTCTTGTATTGAATTAACCTGTTATAATTCAAATAGAAAAAGAAAGTTCTGCAAAAAAAATTTAATTTTGGTATTTTCAGATCTCTTACGTCTAAAAAAGGAAATAACTATTTCTAAAAAGAAGCAAAATTATAAAGAATTATAAAATAAGTCCACCCATAAATATTCATACAGGTGGAACCCCTTCTCAACTGATACCCAAAAAAAGGGGTAAAATTATCAAAGAAGCAAAAATTAGCATCATCGCGATCAAGGATTTTAAGGTTCTGAGTGCTCTGAAGTGAAACTGTAAAAAATATGTGTTAAAAATGAGATTCAAACCTTAGTACAATAACACAAAAAGAGTTATCCATCCTAGAATCATTGGGCCAACTATATGATTTTTTTATTGGATGCTCTATGTTAATTTTATTAAATACCTATCAATTTCTACATAGATATATATATTTCGTTACGAAGTTAATGGGTGCTCGAGCACCCGGCGGACATCTTGTGGGTCCGCCCCTGATCATCGCTTTTCAAAAAAAATAGATTTACATTTTAGCCTCATCGACAATAATAAGATATTCAGTGTAATTTCATATACACACAAATCTTATCTCTATCTTTGTACAGAAGAAATATTTTACGATAGACTCAAAAAAAATCTAAATGAAAAAGAAGAAAAAGGGAAGAAGTTGGCATTCTCAATCAAGGGGAAGGTGACACTCTTATTTGACAATTTGCTCTTCTGATAAGTCAATGGCTCTAAGAATAGAAAAAGATCATTTCTATTGGCACTTATCCCTTTGACCTTCCCTTAATACGAAAATGATGTATGAGCACTACCTCGTCCCTGGTTGAGATTTAAATTTTATGAGTTTAATTTTTAAGATTTTATTATTAAACTCATTGCATTTTAAAACTATGAGTACATAGTTATTACTATTTCTTGAAATTTTATAAATAAATTTATATTCAACGTTTAAAATACTAAATTTAAATAAACCCGATATGTGAATGTTGCATGGACCATTGTTCTCGTGGACAAGTTGTTGCATGTGAAACTAGGAAAAAGTCCACTCCAATACCTTTCCTTTCAAGAATGGGTTAATTTCTCCGACACATAACAACAAAAAGCCACCTCCATTACTTGCGTCTGATTCTTTTTTTCCTTTAAAAAATAAAGATAGTGACAAAAATTTTCTCCAACTAACTACGCGTAATTGGAAAGTGGAAACTCGATAGATACATGGACTCGTTCCTCTATCCTTCTCAGACTAGAGTTTTTTTTTTCAACAACAAAGATTCAAACTTATGTCTAATCCATACATTACACACGATTTGTTCTTGACATTAAAAGAAGTCATGCAAATAGATGCCCTTCTTTAGCAAAGGTTTTATTACACTTCACTAACTTTCAATTGATCATCACTGGCAAGAAATGTCATTTTCATTCACAAATTATTAGACTTTCATATTTATATTATGGACTGTTCCTATAACATTACACATCGAGAGAATGTTGAATTTTCATCAGCCAGGACAAAACAGAACAAAAAATGAGGCAACTGTCAAAGAATTCCTTCTATTTCAACTGTAAAAAAATGTGGTAACAAGAGATTGGAGAGAGATTTATCGATATATACCATTTAGGATGCTCTTAAAAAATCATGCTAATTGGAAGTCTTGATGCAAAATTCTGCAATTAGTCAAGGATTATTGGCTTATCAATGTATTCGTTTTCAGCAGCAATTCTACCAGAGCCACGACCAACCATTCTTCCAAAAGAGCTTACTGCAGATAAGCCCTTAAAACTGCTACTCCCCTCGCTGAAGTTTCTTGATCGCCTAGACTTCCTAAGCTTTGAAGGGGAAACAATATCGTGGCTAGTCCCATCGTCCTTTTCCAGCTTGATAACATCTAATTGAACAATGTTGCTACGACAGAATGGGCACACAGGTACAATAGGACTGGTAGTAGTAGGATTAGGCTTTTTATGACAGCATAACGCCAGTACACAATGTGCACACATCTGGTGCCCGCAGTCCTGGACCTGAATTGTGCATACTTGATCGAAGCATATACAACAAATTTCTGTTTCATTGACCTGCATTAGGTAATTGTAGATGATATGAGACTCTGTAATCGCTTTTAAGGTAAGACTAGTTGTAGCAGCTTGTCAAAGAGTCATTGTCATCTTTTAGAACGGTAATTACCTCAGAGATATTGTCATCCATCTCATTATCGGAATTGGTTGGCGATGGTGGCGAATAAGTTGTTCCTTTCAGGATGTTCTTTTCCCTCTCCTTGTTAGCCTCCATCAATGCACATTCTAGCAAATGTTTTGCCTCTTTATTCAGCTCACTGATAAACTTCAATGGCGATGGCCAGACAAGAGGCTCTGCAGATGAAGGATTCAGCAACGCTGCACATGCACCATGTTTGTATCTTAAAGCAATTGTGTATGGTATTCTCCTGCACCAAAACCACCACATTGCATATATTAGATAGATAAGAAAACGAAAAGATTGTGGACTCACAAAAGAATACATTCAGTTTCATGACTATGCTTTCCTCTACAAAACCTGGCAAGTTAAAAAGAGGGGAAAAAACAGTACCCCAAATCATCTCTTTGTAATCGCTCTGCTCCCCATGCTAACAATTCACGGATACAATCAAGAGAACCAGCTCTTGCAGCCAAATGAAGTGGTGTACTACCTGGGAAACTGTTTTTGTGCAAATTAGTACAAGTATACATTACTTTGAAACCCACAAATAATGAAAAGGAGAAGTCTTGGACGCGATAATTACCCATATCCATCGGTAGAAGCACAAGCAAGAGCACCATTGTCTAGTAAAATATGAACACAATCAGCCCGTCTTTGACGAGCTGCTAAGTGCAAAGGTGTTGCTCCTTTACCATCATTAACGTTCACAAACCGGGCATATCCCCTAAAAGTTCAATTCCAACACAATGACTTAGAACAATTCGATAATATATCCACATCATAGAAAGAAAAAAAGAAGTGAAACTCTTAAAGAGATATACCAAGAAGACGCAATGTGTGATGTCCGAGCAGCAAAAAGAATTGTTTTGAGACAATCAGAGTACCCATAATAGGCCGCATAGTGCAAGCATGTCCTCCCATTCAATGAATCAAACATCAAAATCTGATTATATGTTTCATAATTAGACCAATAAATTTTGCAGATAATAAAAATTGGCAGTTCATAGATTCTCTTTTAAGTGTTAAGTTACATACATTGGCCCCGGCTTCAATAAGCTTTTGCACACAAGAGATCTTCCCGTGCATTGCTGCTAGCATCAATGGAGTCTAAAGAAATAAACAGCAAAAATCAGGGGAAATTTTAAAAAAAAATAATACTTAACAGCTGCTCAACACAATCAAAAATCAGAACACCACAAGAAGAAACGATCAATTCCATAGGAATTTAAAAATTTACGAAAATGATAGTTCAAACTCTTTTGATTTTAGTCGATTGGAGAAAACAGAGCAACCGACAGGAGAAAACGTAATATTCATACCTGCTTATACCGATTCAATAAATCAGGCTTAACAGACATGTCTAAAAGCATAGAAACAACCTGAAAGAACACAAAAGCTTCAACAAAAAGGAACACCCCAAAAAATCAGAGATACTACTTATTTTTCTTCAAGAAAACAGCCCATTTTCAAACAACCCACCTCAATTTGGCCATTGGCAGCAGCAATATGTAAAGCAGACTGTCGATCATAAACTGTAGAATGATGAACAAGACTTGGGTTTCTCTCAAACAGAGCCTTTACAGTCTCCAAATCACCACACTGAACAGCAGTAAACAATCCGTGTTCATCACTTGTTCCACAACTGAACCCCTGACCCATATTAAAAATCTGAACTTTATTCTGCTGCTGCGGCGGCGATGAGTAAGCCCCTTTTTCACCACCGTGGACGGCGGTGGTGACGGTTTCTGGTGGTGGTGGGAGAATTGGGAATTGAGAGAGTCATATTTATGGAGTTTAAAGTAGAGATGGGATGTGTGAATATTGAAGTTTGGGCTGCCCGAAAAGCGACGGCGGGGAAGAACGGGCAGCTTAAAGAGTGAAGAGAGAAGAAAACGGGCAGAAATCAGATATTTTTCGGGCAGGTTAGATTCCAAATAAAACTACTATAACAGCAAATATATATGACATTTCGAGTTGGGAGAAAATTCTATTTTACTCTAATAAATTTTTTAATATTAAATTTGAATTTAATTAAATTTTAATATAAATTATAATATTGTGTGTGTGATGTGTGTGGAATTAAAGATAAGCAGTCAAAGGTTTGCTGTCACATTCTTTTACTGATTCCTCTACGATCAAAGTAACCAGGATTTTTCAGATTCACTTATAATTCGAGATAATAGTATAATAAAGTGATGAAAGTAAACGAAGAGAAGTATATTTAAAAGAATTCATGAATGAGTTAGTTATCATTTAATGTGGCAAAGAAACAATTTTTTCATTCTGTTATTATGATTCATCATTAAAATTTAATGATCATGTGTGAAATTAGGCTAGCGCATTGTCAAAATAGACCAAATTGAAATGTCATAGATCTAGTTAACTTCAACAATATTTAGTAAGGAAGATTTTAGTTATTTTTCTAACTTGACAAAAAGAATTATCTTTATTTGTTAATTTTACAGAGCATGATTACAGTAGCAAAAAGTATTATTTTTTACATCATAATTTTACAATAAAGGGATTAAAAAAAGATTTTCTATGGTTCAAAAAGAATCCCTCTGCTAATAAAATAATTGATTAATTATCTAATTTTTTACGTAATAATGAGCTCTTGATTCTCCACCATAAGCACACTTCTTAGCTGTATGTTGTTTTTATCAAAGTTTATAACATCAGTGTAGAAATGCTTGAAGCCATTTCAATTTTTAATTTTCACGCAACAAAGAACAATTTGCGGTACCCAAAAATATAGAATAAAGGGTGTTGATTATGGACATACAGTAAGTAATGTGGTTCTTGTCTATTACTTTGTGACAAAATAACTTACTTGATATTTCTAATGATCACTTAATTATATTAAAAAATAATTTTTTAATTAGAAAATATTTAAATTAATAATAAATTTAAAATATTTTTATGAGATAATAACTATAGCTAAATTACTATGCGAAAAATCAATCGCCACAAAGCATTACCTTTTCTTCTTCTAAATATCATCTTGAATGCAAAAAACTACGTACCTTTATATCATGGCAATCGGAAAAACCTTAAATTAGTTTTACTTTATCATCGTTGGACTTAATTCATTTATAATAATAAAATAATAATTTGTTTTTTTAATATTTTATCCGACACAAAAAATAATACTCTAAACCCAACATGTCGGTATAAATTATTTCTGTTAAGGTCTCAAATTTTTATAGAAATAAGGTATGAAGCAGCTAGCATTTATTTATTTTATTTGGTCAAACAAAAAGCGTGGGAATATATAATGAATCATGAATATTCACATGAAAGGAAGAAAACGATTAATAAATAATAATTCAACAATTTCACAAGCTAACAAACACAAATTAAACTATTAATAAATAATAATTCAATAATTTCACAAGCTAACAAACATTCAAATTAAGTCCTATGTACACAAAGCAAAGTTCATGCTTAGGAAGACACAACGAAGATACGTTACATTATATTTATTTGTAGCGGTTGTACCTAATATTAAATCAAATTTATGTAATTATAAATTACGAACACGTTTTGATTTGGTCATGTGATTAAGATATAATAAGTAGGTTAAATCAAATATATATTATTTCCTCTTTTCACCAATCCCTGTGTTTAAGTCTTAAGTCTAAGTCTAATCATTATGACGTGTATAGAAATGTATATTATATATAAATATATACAATATAAAATAGACTGTACTATTTAAATAATGTATACATACTACGTAAACGAGATAATCCATTGATATTGGACTATAATTTAATAAAAAAATTGTGAATGAAGTTACGTTTTAATTAATTAATCAAATCAATAATCTTTTTTGACTCACTTAAGCAAGAAAAGGTTACCTCTAGGTGCACTAAAATACTATAGTATAAGATACCAGAGAGTATATAAACACTAGAAATGATGCTCTCTCTTTAATTATTTATTGAAAAAATCTAAAATCAAGAAAGAATATTACTATTACTATTATCGATGTAAAACTCTGGACTAGGCCTATTTCGTTCAGTTTGGGCTGGGCCTACTCAGTAGTTCCAATTCTAGTTTTGGACGTAAGATATTAAATGGATTCAACCAAAATCATTTCGTCTAACCTTCAACATAGGCCCAAAAAGAGCTCAGATTTATAGAAGGTAAACACACAGAAATTCTACTAATTTAGGAATTAATAACTTAGATACACGCTAGTTTACAATATTACGAATCTTACTAGATTTTGATGTATTCAGATACATGTATCTCGGAATGCATGAGGTTAAAAGTTAGGTGTAATTTGTTTCAGATATACAATATTCAATTGGATTTGCATGTATCTGAGATACATAGACAAATCTCGCTCGCATCCCTCCTATATAGCTCTTCACTCTCCTATCTAGCTCGCGTATCTGGTATCTCAGATACATGCTAATCACATAAGATACTTGTATATAGTGTAATTCACGTGTGTTTGGGTTACATAACCAAATCTCATTTGTCTCCCTCCTGTTCACGCTCGCCTCTCTCCCCTTTTCAGCGTAAAAAATATGTATCTAGATGTATGACTTGAAATACGGTTGAAATTATTAGTTATTTTGATAAAATGTAATTATTTCAAATCATAACAAATTTTTGTAATATGATAGAAATATGTCAATTTTACACATGATTTTATCTACAAGCAAAATAAATTCTTTTAACCAAAAGAATTGAGTTTAAGCAAGTTTTGTAGCTTTCTTGTTAATTTGGTCTCTTAATCAACATTTCTGTCCACAAACAAGACTTGTTTTAAAATGAGGAAAGTTGGTCAATAGGCTCATTCTTCAAAATAGAGACTACTATTATCATTTTAATTGTCATAAAGCATAAGAAATAATAATAATAACAAGGATATAAGTTAACCTTGATAATGACTTAAAGGAAGTAATGAGGCACCAAGTGGATAAGGACATAAGATCAAAAAGGCAAAGAATAATATTGTGAAGATTTAATCTCTATAATAGATCATTTTTGTTGAATTGATTCACACGTCGACCATGTGCCGCGGTTTCCCTTTAGTGGGCCACGCACAATTTTCTACGAAACTAGCTCCTTCAAAATCATGTTCGGACATAATTTATTAGATGTTATAAAATAAAAGTATCATAAGAATTGTGAATAAAATATTATTTTATGTAAGGACAACTTTAGCAAATAAAAAATTTATATTCGTATGCTATAACAAAATTTAAATAATTGCGTTCCATATCAAACATATATTTGTATAATTCGCTATACATATACAATTGTATAATTCGTTGGCATAAATTGTATAATTCGCTGGTCTTGCTATACATATACAATTGTATGATTCGCTGGCCTAAATTGTATAATTCCCTGGCCTATTTCGCTGCAATTGTATAATTCGCTATTCTATTTTACTGCAATTGTATAATGCGTAATTGTATAATTCGCTGCCTATTTCACTGCAATATTTGTATAAATTTTGCTTTGCATACAATTGAATCGAAGTAAAATATATGTATATTGTATAATTATAAGTGTATAGAAAGAAGATATATGTTTTTCTCTCCCTTTATACACAAACAGAAACACAATTTATACACTTCTGTTGTATAAAGCGAGAGAAAATTGTATTTCACTGCAATTGTATAATTCGTTGGCCTTTTTCGCTGCAATATTTGTATAAAATTTGCATCTGTCTACAATTGAATTGAAGTAAAATGTTTGTAAATTGTATAATTAAGTGTATAACACGAAAATATATATTTTTGCATGTGTATATACAATTTTCTCTCGTTTTATATACAAAACAGAAACATAATTCATACACTTCTGTGTATAAAGTGAGAGAGGCGAGCAGAGGGAGAGTGGCGAGCAAGAATGGGAGAGTGGCGAGCGAGATTTTTGGGGAAGAGGCGACTGACAAACTTTGGCTAACGTTTGCTATGGAGCACAATTAAATCAAACCGTAACTACTCCATTTATTTTAAGTTATTAATTTGCTATTATATACAATTATCCCTTTATTTAAAACACTATGTTTACGACTATATTTTGGGAATATAATTGAGACATTATTTATGGGTAAAACGAATTAGTAAAAAAATATGTCATCTGTTTCCTAGTAACTACTGAAAATTGTATTGCTTGTCGATTGAATTATTGTGGTGGGTATATTTTCACAAGACCATAATTGAGTCGTTACACTACATGTATTGACAAAACATGTCCACATGTGAACCAAAAAAAAAGTCATACATATAGACAAGGAAACTTTTAGGAAACTTCTTAAAATAACTGATGTACAGTTCTATGATCTATTCCAATATCGAGATTGTTAATTTAAAGATTTATTAATGATATATAACAATAAATATGGGAACTGATGTATAAATTTTAATGTCTTTGATGCCAAGATAGACAATTCACCAACAATAGATGCATTGGACACACAATAGCACTAATTCTGTATCATGTCATGACACTATAGCATTATTCATCTGGCAATTCGAAAATCGGATCATTAGAGACTATTACTATATGACTACCGCATCTATTTCATTTTACATGTCATTTTTACTAAAAATAAATGATTCATAATACTTGTTATTTTAGACAATTAAGACATAATTAATTGTTTATTTTTATTTTTATCCCAAGTCATAAATATGAAGAGTAATGTTATAACATCTTAATCGCCGACTACAATATTAACTAGGGATAATTTATTAGGATAACAATTGATTCAATAATTTTTGCTTATCTTTTATATTTATATTAAATAATTTATTAAATAGTTAACTATGAATTGAATAACTAAAATAGGCTTTGAATTCATGAATAACAAATTTAAAAATTTCTAATCACGATATGATGTTCGAGAGTCGGAATCCTTATTGTGGGATCATGACCGGGAATTGGGAAGATCCATATCTTGACCCGTGATTTGGGACATCAGTGGTCCTGCAAAACATTTCCTACGATCCATTCATCATTTAATTTTCTAGGGAACTACATGAATGGACTCATCTAGACCTAATCTTTGAATTCACTGTGGATACCGTACATATCATTGATCTGAATTACGCGTTGATTATGCTATTATTGTTGTAGCCATTCTTTTTAATTTTTAAATTGATAAGGTTAAATATTATAATTAGTATTTAATAAAATAATTGAAAATGATTTGAGAAGTGCGACGTTTTTTTTTTTTTAATTTAAAAGGAAAGTAGCAAGAAGCTAAGGTTCAAGTTAGACGGCAGCCCCCACAAGCATCAAGGCAAGACTGTTAGGAAACAGTAAGCATTTGTTGGTCCATAATTGCAGACTGGGCATATCTCCATTCAATGATTTCCCATAAAGACACACTTGCACTCCCATGTTTCAGAGGATATAATTATTTCGAGCTAGCGTTTAATCGTAGATTTCTAAATATTTTTGATAAATATTATTTGAGTGAAATTTCACCCATGTGTTTGGCCATAATATCTAGAAAATGTATTTCATTTTTTTAAAAAATTATGATTTCTAAATATTTTTGATAAATATTATTTAAGTGAAATTTCACCCATGTGTTTGGCCATAATATTTAGAAAATGTATTTCATTTTTTTTTAAAAATATGATTTATATCCATAAGTTTTAAAAATATCAAAACTAACTATAAGTTTGTATTACAAGTCAATTGAATCTTTGTTACGACAATAACAAATAGTCTCCATGACACTAGAACAATGTGGTAATTTGGAGTGAGTGCAATAACCATCATTTCATATATTGTGAAGTAGACAAAAGACATGACTTTGTTATCTTGAGCCAATTGTTCATCATTTTCATCAATAATCATATTATCATTTTATATTCACCGAATATTTCATCACTACCTTGGAATTAACGTAAAAAATTATGTAATATAACGTAAGCAACAACTATAGAGGGTGTTTTTGTAAAAGATAAAAATTTGGGATAAATTTTTAATTTTTAAAAGATTCCAAATAATGAGATTTGAATCAAACACTAGAAAAATTAGTATTTAAAAATTTAGGATATTTGTCAGAAATATTTGCCAAATAATGACAAAGTGTATGAACAAACACTAGTTATCAAATTTTTTTCCCAAATATTATTTGATAAATCTATGATAAAACGAGCCCTAAGTGTCTCCTTTACTTTCTTTATTTGGATTCAATGTCAATTCTCATATTTATTAGGGGATTAGAAAACTTGTCATCTATTGTATTGGCTGATTATTCGTTGGTGTTTTAATTTTCTTTAACGACCTTTTTCTTTTAATAGGAGTAAAATTTAAAATTTTGATTTCACTTTATTAGTGAAATCGTATATAGTTCGATTTTAGGTAGGTCTTGAAAATATGTTTGTTTTTTTTTTGTATTTAATTTCATTGATTTAGACTTTGATTTTTAAGAGGCAACTCCTCATCGTGGGTAAACGAATAATTCTGAGAAAAAAAGGTGTCTCCTATGTATAAGTTAATAATTGTGAGATAAAAAAGCAGACGAATCCTATCCCATATATCCAAACTCATTCTCTTTTATCTATTAGAACTACTCAGTAACATGGTTATGGTCGAAAATGAGAATAGTAATAATATGTTTGACCAATGTCTCTTAAATCATTAATTTTTCATATAGTAGTTGCGATGCAAATAATTAAAGTTTGGACAGATTCATGTGTCATGAGATATGTTGGTCAATTATGAGGCACATGCTCTCAAGATTCTCCATGCTAATCTCTTGGTTTAATGGACGAAAAATCCTAGCAAAAACATGCTGTCCTCCTTAATGCCCATTTTACCCTTTCCCACAATGACTTAATTAGGTATAGGAATAACAATAGGACGTAGCGGGTTTGTCCTTTTATGGGATAGGATAGAGCGGATGTATTTTGAAGTAATTTTTTGAAAAATCTCGCACAAAGTAGGTTTTATAAATTAGTTTTTTAATACATTTAATGTAATTTTATAATTGAGTTCTGAAGAGAGTAGGGTGTCTGTCCTTACCTACTATCTTTGTTGGATAAAGAAACTATTTCTAAAAGACACTAAACTCAAAAGAAATATTTTATTAAAGTAGTTCAATTTATATTGTCTGATTTAAATAGTTCTAAGAAGCTAAGTGACTACATAATTAGAGCCTGGCTCAATAATAAGCTATTTTTGGCTTAGCTTAGACGGGCTCACATGATTTCATACTCTTTTTCCCTACCTTAAAACAGGTTAACTTTTAATTAAAATAATATTTTTCAAGCTGTCATTATAGCAGTCATTTAGGTGAAATTTGTCACACTAATCATGATTAAGCGGACCCCTTTACCCATACATAAATATGTTACTAGTTTAAGTGAAATAATAATAATTTTTGTTCGTAAATGATTTTACTTACAATTTTTTAAATTTTATAGGAGATTTTTATTTTTAACTATAAGAGGTTTGAAAATGTCTTTTTGTTAAAAAATTAATTTGTAAGATGCAAGAGACTTCACTTCTTTAATTATTATTTTTAAAAGGAATAATTTATTTCATGAGATTGGAATCCATGTTTCTAATGATTAAGCTAGAACCTTTATCTCTGTTTATTTAATTTTCAGCAAATATTCCAAGACAATTTCTTTTTATCCTTTTCTGTATTTACCAATTTTTTTTTTTGGTCCCCTTTGTTTGTTTGCTCTGTAAGGCTTCATCATTTAGGTGACTTGGACAAATGTATGTTTCACCCTAAGAAGGAAAAAGAGACAAATTTGTTTTATTGGAAGGAAATAAATGTATCTTTTTGGGTGCAACCAATGGTCTCAACTCATACAATTAATACTACAAAATTTACTATCCAATTATTCACTATTGACTTTATATAGTTTTTAAAAAATTATAAATAGAAGTGTTATTACTTTTTGAATGTAATATTATAAAGGTATAGTAGAATCAAATAAATTAAACATCTTGGGAAAAAATAATAGATAACTATTATAAAATGGAAAAAATAATTTATTTTTATTAATGCAACTTATGGTAAATCCAAAAATAGTTTTATAGAGCGTGGAAAAGTAGCAAACATGAGTGAGGAAATGACCATGTGAAAGCCACTTTGCTTTTTGTGCAACTTTCTTTCATTATAAAAAAAAAATAAAAAATAATATTTTAATATATTTTTTAATAACATGATAAAATTAAGAACTGTGGAGTTAAATAAATTAAAACGGATAATATTTTGATAATCTTGAGTGAAACTAGGTGAATTTTGAAATATATTTATTATTAGATTAATATAAAATAGAAGAAAATTTTAAGTAATGATTTTATTTTATTGTAGCAGGAGGATATGTGATTTCGCGACAATTTACATATCCTCATCTATTTAACCACTTACTCATAGAGACAGGGTAAACGGTTACTCAAAAACCCACCAATAAACCTGTTTTCTTCTTCACAAATCCACTTACTCCACACTTCCATCCACCGCCGGTAACAATTAACCGACAATACTCCGCCGGTAAACTTTATTATCAAAAGAACTCATCCTGAAGTCCCGCCGCCACAACAATACTCTCTTAATTCTTACTCCATTTTCTATCTCCCTTTCTCTCATGGAGTCGACGACTAACAACTGAGCTATTCAGGTCACCTCCTATTTATAAGTTGTTGTGTTAAAATTTTTGGATCTTTGAAAGGAAATGGAAGAAGGAAGAGGAGTGTTAGTGGAGAAGCTGATTGAGGTAGTTAACGAAATAGCAGCCATTTCAGATTACAGAACTTCGGTGAAGAAAGAGTATTGCAATCTAGGTAGGAGGCTTAAATTATTGATTCCAATGTTCGAAGAGATTCGGGATATCAAAGAACCAGTTCCTGAAAACTCAATGATAGCTTTGGTTTCATTGAAAGAAGCTCTTGAATCAACCAAGGAATTGCTCAAATTCGGCAGCCAGGGAAGCAAGATTTATCTCGTGAGTTTTTGTTTCAGAATCTGCACTTGATTAGGTCCACGTTTAATGATCTGATTCTTCAGATTATTTTAGATTTTGTGTTAATTAGTTTGAAATTGATACAGGGTTGATCGTTTGATTGAAACTGCACAGTTACCTGTAAATTAAAATCCAGTATGTAGGAGGTACCGCTAAATTAAGACCCTATCTCTTTATAAATAGTTAAGAACCTAGCTATTTAAATTACGAAATGGACAATTCATCTTGCTCTTGGAACAAGATCATTGCTTTGAGGCGTGGTGTGGAGACTAGTGGTCTATCATTACATCTGTCTGATCAGTGATCAATGTTATCATATATTTACTTGATTAACCTCTATATGAATTACACCAAATTGTACTGCAATAGTATCCTATCCTCATTAAGATTCTTCATCTTGTAACAAAGGGTGAAAGTCAACAAGAGTCTTAAGTTGCTGGATGAGGATACGTTTTCAAAATTTTTATTAGGATGTCCGTCCTTGGATTATTGCACATTATTAGTAGACTCTGCTATTATTTCTGATCCCAATACTTAAGTTTGAGAAAGCCACTACCTTTTCGCCACCAGTCCTCCCTTGTTTCCTGGGCAATGATTTCATATCTTCGGCTGCTGGTTAAGTTTTATGTTTTTACTGAGGATAACAGCAACATGAACAAGACTAGCATGTTTAGTATGATAGACGGAAATTTTACTTGCTATATAGCTGAACCTTTATTGATCTTTTCTGGTTCATCTACCTCTCCTACTGTCCAAGGAGTGTGGTGCTGACGGTGAAGGAGATTAATTGCAAACTAATTAAAAAAGGTGAGAAGAATCCATGCACTTATTATGAAACGTTTGGTGTCCTTCAAACCAATTACTATTCGTTACTTGCCTCTTCAGGATGTCAAACTGGGTTGGACTTTCTTTATTAGGATAGTTTTAAATAAAATTTTTTGTTGAAAGGAAACTAGTTGCAGTATTTTGGTAGGGAAGCTATTAAGAGAAGCTGATCAGAGTTGCAATGTAGGGATTACAAGCTTCTTTTATGTGCTCTTTTGGGTTAAATACGTGATGAACCGTGGTGTCCGGACTACGTGGAATATTTTGTTTATTTTTAGTAGGTGATTGTGAGACTTGACCAAACCACGTCATGTAACCTTCTTCGATTTATCCTTTAAGGATGTAGAGTGCTGTTTGTACCCTTTCAATCGTTTAATTCTAATCTTGTCTAATCTTATATGATGCCATCTACTTAACATCTGTATTTCTACTAGTGATCATGTTGAGGACAAGTTGGGTGTTAGAGGCCCAGCAATACTAACTCTCATAACTCATATAGCATTACTGGTGTCTCAACCATTTTTAGTTTACTTTGGTTAGTACTTAGTATCTCCCTATTGGGAAATTTTGTTGTAACTATTTATGGAGTAGTTGTTTTCTTTAGGGACTGGACTCTAATGGATTTGGAAGCTATTATTTCTGCTACCTTAAGGTGAACCTTTAATAGCCGGCCTGATCCATGGCTTTTAGGTCATCAAGACGTCTGAACTTCTCATTTCTTCTCCCTGAAGTGCCGCTTTGACATCTACTAACTCAAGCATTTGCATGGTAAAATGACTCTCATAGGGCAGATTTCGATTTTAACTGCAAATAATTTCTTACACCGATGAATGATTAGCTTAAGTCCTTGTAGAACTGTATGTTTCGCTGGAACATCAGGATTATTCATCTTACAGAGTAAAGTTCAATTTAGGAATTTTTCTTTGCAGGTCTTAGAAAGGGAGCAGATAATGAATAAATTTCACCAAGTGACAACCCAGCTGGAACAAGCTTTGGGTGGAGTTCATTATCAAGAGCTTGACATATCTGATGAAGTTAAAGAGCAGGTAAAAAGCATCACACCTTATGACGTCTTCATATGTTGTCGACGGATACATCTCTTGATGTGCAATTCTTCTTTTCCATCCGTGGCTCCAACTTCCAGGTAGAGCTTGTCCTTTCTCAGTTCCAAAGAGCCAAAGGAAGGGTTGATACACCTGATGCTGAACTCCATGAGGATCTATTGTCCCTTTACAGCCAGAGTAATGATCCTGCTATAGATCCAGCTGTCCTAAGGAAATTGGTTAAGAAGTTACAGCTGACTGGATTATACGATCTCACACAAGAATCATGTGCTTTGCATGATATGGTCACTGCTACTGGTGAAGATCCAGAGGAGAGAATCGAGAAGATGTCACTTGTACTGAGGAAAATTAAGGGCTTTGTGCTTACTGAGACTCCGGAGATTGATTCTTCTTCGAGGGAGAAGTCTTCAACTTGTAGCGGACAAGTTTCTATCGAGACAACTCATAAGGCCCCAGTTATACCAGATGATTTTCGGTGTCCTATATCCCTGGAATTGATGAAAGATCCTGTCATTGTTTCATCCGGCCAGGTACCATTTTTGGATCTTTATCATGCTTTTTTGGTTAAAAATGAGTCGCACCGTTATCCATTTCTCTTGCTACCTCCTATCTTGCCTTATCATCTTGTCGTGTTCGTGCATGGATGTTAGTCAGACTGTCAATTAAACATGGCCTTGAATCATTTCATTGAAGTGTTGCGAATTCTCTATTGTCTAGTTTCCCTCTTCTTTTTCTCCGTGAAGTGCTTTAAAATTTTTGTTATCACTTCCAAATAGAGCAAAGAGGAAAAAGGAAGAAAGTAATTTATTGTTTTCATATTTTATTTTAGGGTGAAAAGACTAGTTCATATGCGAAAAAGTATAGACACATAGGCGATTCGTATTCAGTTAATTGATATGGTCCTTACTGATTTATGAGATTATTTCTGTAGAAACTAAATAATCTGCCAAAATCTTGATGCATGATTTATGTCGCATTTATGCTTGTTAAAATGTATCCACTGAAATATTGAGGATGCACATGCCTTATGGGTCTCATGTTCATGGAAGATGTGGAGTGTTTGAAAGCTAAATTTGTACTGTAGCTATGATTTCCATATCGTAGTTTGCTAACAATATATATGGTGTCCTCCACCGCAGACTTACGAGCGTTCTTCAATTGAGAAGTGGCTGGAAGCAGGGCATAGCACTTGTCCCAAGACACAACAAGTCCTCACTAGCAATGTTATCACACCAAACTATGTGTTGCGGAGCCTCATAGCACAGTGGTGTGAAATGAATGGAGTTGAATCACCCAAACGACCAGGTAGTTCACCCAATAAATCAGCATCCGCATGCACGCCTGCTGAGCACTCGACGATAGAAAATCTCCTGAGAAAGCTCACATCTGGCAGCCCTGAAGATCGTCTCTCAGCCACAGGTGAAATCCGCCTTCTTGCTAAACGCAATGCTGATAATCGTGTTGCAATAGCTGAAGCAGGTGCTATTCCTCTGCTTGTTGACCTTCTTTCCACACCCGATTCTCGGATCCAAGAGCATGCTGTTACAGCACTACTTAACCTTTCTATCTGTGAGGATAACAAACGGAGCATTGTAACATCAGGGGCAGTGCCTGGTATCGTCCATGTTCTTAAGAAGGGGAGCATGGAAGCACGTGAAAATGCAGCGGCTGCACTATTTAGCCTTTCAGTTATAGATGAGAATAAGGTCATAATTGGTACTTTTGGAGCAATACCTCCACTTGTAACATTATTAAGTGATGGCACCCAGAGAGGGAAGAAAGACGCTGCTACCGCACTTTTCAATCTGTGCATTTATCAAGGGAACAAGGGCAAGGCAGTAAGGGCTGGAGTTGTGGTCACTCTGATGGGGCTGCTTACGGAACCTCAAGGTAGTATGATCGACGAAGCACTTGCCATTTTAGCTATATTGTCTAGTCATCCAGAAGGGAAGACAACCATTGGAGCTGCAGGGGCAGTTCCTGTTTTGGTTAATGTGATCACAAGTGGTTCTCCCAGAAACAAAGAAAATGCAGCTGCAGTTTTGGTACACCTTTGCTCTGGGGACCAACATTATCTAGTGGATGTTCAGGAGCTAGGAATAATGGGACCATTGCTGGATTTAGTACAAAATGGTACTGAAAGGGGTAGACGAAAGGCAACCCAGTTGCTTGAACGAATAAATAGATATGCTGAACAGCAAAAACAGGCCCAGACAGAACCCGAGGCTCCGATTCATAACCAGCTTTCAGAGTCACCACCATCATCGACAAATGTCCTGGAATGCTGAATAAGTAACAACTACTACTATGCCTCAATCCTAAGCAAGTGGATCAGTTATATTAATCCTCGCTGATCCAGTTAAGCTGCTCCTGGAGTACTGTATGCTTTTATTTTTCCTTTTGTGTTTGGCTTTAATTTTTTTGGTTTGTTATAGCATAAATTATAGAAAATGGGAGAAAGGTGGAAGATCACCTGATACCTCCATCATTTATTTGTTTTCTGGGGTTTGAGGTGTACACTCCCAAGGATATATTGAGGGAAAAAACTGTGAAAACATGAACTTATTTGACAATACTGAATGTCAAAGTGTACCATTACAACACATTTACAAGTGAAATCTTCCTCAGTTTTTATAGACGAAGATGCTTTTCTACATTATTTTCTTTGATTAGTCAAATTCTTGATAGAATTATAAGAAATTATTGGTATTCTCTTTCTTTTATTGTCAAGACTGAAAGCAACACAGCAAATACATCGGCTTTCAACTTCACAATAATCGAAAATCCACTTTAGCAGGTTGTTACTATATGAACCATTTCCACATTCAACTGGAAACAGTTAAAATTCACAATTCTCGAAATCAGTTTTGAGCCAGAACCACTACAACAAAAATGAAGTACCATTAATTGCCCTGAATATGTATTTTTAGCAGTGATTATCACTCTATATATATCCCTAAAGCCTTTAGCGACATTGGTTTTAATGATACTTAACTAATGCCGTTAAAGACTTTAACACTCTTTATTTGTTTCTATATTTAATGCCGCTAAAAGTTGTTTTTATTGTAGTGAACATGGAGGGGTAATTAGAAATAACTTTAGCTTACTCAAGACATGATCTTAGATAAGAAGATACGGAAATTGAGAATTAGGATAGAAAGACTAGTTATATGATTTCTACTCTCAGCACATAATTATATATGTAAAACCAACATCAATTTAATACTCCATGTATCAAAACATACAAAATCAATTTCATAATATATTTTGTTATATGAGTGGTCCATAAATAGAATTCGACTCACACATAATTCAACCTGTTGAAGATATTATTAAGTATAATACAGAGAGAGGCACACAACTCAATGCAATGTAGAGATTAGTTGGTCACCTGTGGTGAAAGAACACAAAGATCATCTCAAAAGGCACACAGCCAATCAGGATTCCTTCTTATATATAAATATCAAAAATGTGATATATTGCACCAATTAAAGTGACCTGTAGTACTTACATGTGTTGTGTCTATCGTAAATGCCATTGCATGTGCAATTATTATAGTTCGCTTTTATTTATGTTTCTTTATATGTACATTTTCATTTCTTGCTTCTATCATTCATACCATACTTTTAATCAATATATCTATCAGTTTGCATACCATCTTTTACGAGCATTGATGCCCACATAGAGCCCTCACAAGAAGAAAAATGGAAAGTAAAGGGGGAAAAAACAAAAACAAATAACCACGTTTTCGAATTTTTTTTTTTACAAAGTTCTTCCATTAAATTTTGACGTTTCTTTTAGAAATAAGCAATCGACAGAGAGGGTTGCTCCAGTGGTATACTAAGGTTTCCTTATTGAATTTATTCACTTTAAAATTACTTAAATATGCAATGTCTCTTGTTCAGCTAAAAATGGTTGAACTTCAACCTACATAAATATAAGGTAATGATACTTGCACTATATATAAGCAAAATAACACAAAAACTAAAATATCTTTTAGCGGCAGTCAGTATTGACATTAATAAAGAGTGCTAAAGTCTTTATCAACATTAGTTAAATGCCAAAATATACAAAGAGTGCTCATAATGATATTTTTGATTTAGTGTAAATAACTAAACATGATCTGGAAATGCTTAAACTTCAGTCAAAATATCAAATGAATGTCTGAATTTAGACTTTGTCAAAACTAACTTCAATTTCCACAAGTTTGAAGTTGTTCTCAGATGAGTAGATGTGCAAAAAATTTATAAGCATAACTAAAATCGTAACACCAAAATAAGGTATATGTGTACCAAGTGATGAGGGTATGCAATTGCTGAACTTAATTTGAACGGGTTAAAATAAGTTACGAGCCTTCAACAAGTTACTTGGGCTGAGATAAGGTAGGTCAAGATCAATGAGCTTGATACTGGGTCAATGCCGATCCAATACATTTAATTTTCTTATAGAAAGAATTTCTTTATTATTTAAACATAAAGTATTTTAATAAATCAACTCAACTTTAGATAGGTTAAATTAAGCGGTCAAAATGGTCTAAATAAATGAATGAATCTCCTCAAACAAATTTGTTGACTTCATATTTTTATTGGCTAATTTTTTTTCGACCCCTACAAGTAAGTAGGAGTAACTAAATTTTTTCGAAATTTTTAAGAGTGTGAGTTCGTGAATAGTAAAAAGGACATAAGTTCCTTTGATGTTATGAAGTCTACATGCATAATTGTGTCGACATAATAAGGTTAAGTTCACAAAATTATGCTCTAATTTGGAGTAATTTATAATGTGGTTAAAGTGTATCGAAAATTATGACATATTATTTACGAGCAAAGTAAACCACTATAAAATTGATAATTGTGGCATCATAAGATATTTGATAAAAATATGAACGAATATATTAGAGCTAGGCGCGGAGCAAGTTAGAATCGAATAACCCTTCGAAAATTACACTATACGAAAGAAAGAGAGTAAATACTTAAAATATAGCAACTCTCTCGCATTTAATTATATTTTTTTTTATCAAATCCCCACTTCATTTACTTGTAATTGTCCAGTCCAAAGAAATAGGGTTAGAACAAAAGGGGTATTTCTTTTTATAATAAATAAAAAGGAGTTAATTTACTTTTTCTTATAGTCCACTTTTTTTTCAACTTACTCCAGTATTCTGATGTGAACTTCAACATGATAATGTACTACGTACCTGAATAAAATAACAACCTAGCTAAAAATTGTTGGGGTTTTAGATCGGTGGATTAAGAGTTACTCTTTATATAATTTCGGACAACTCTTACCTCTCAAATTAGTTTTTGAGTTGAGCTAGATTCAAAATTCATTTTTCTAGATTCATCCCAACACGATTTACCTGATGTTATACCTCGTCTCACCTCGATGGTTTAAAATAATTTTTAAAGTAAAACGTTAGCCAAATGCTAAATAAAAGAAATCATAGATTCAAGTGAAATATAATATTTTTCATTCTAATTTGCAACAAGCTAATAATGTTTATTATGATAATGTAAAGCTGCAAGGGGTATAGCTTTCCAACTATATATGTCTGCAATATAATTCATGAAAGGGTAAGCTTTTTTGCGTGGAATTGCGGAAAAGCCCATATGTCTGTGAAGGGAATTAGATTCTAACACCACCAAATGTTTTTTTTTTTTTTATAAATTAAATTAATTCAGCAGATCCCATCTTCATAATCATGCATTAATTTAATATAATCTCCTTCTTCTTTTTTACAAGACAGATAATTACGCGTCTAATTATACGATTCTTTTGAATTTTAAATACTACCAAAAAATAAAATGAAATTTTGATATACATGCACGTGCATGATCCAATTGGGTATATACGCAAATCTTTTAAAGTCTCCATCTAACGTCAAATGCATGGCCTTCATTTCATACATGTTTTTTTAGGTGCATTTAAATTTAAATTCTTATATTAACCAATCGCCTTAATTACCTGTTGTAATCAACCTTGTGATGTGTTTTGGAGGTAATATTGCATTACTATATCCACCTTTGTGGTGAAATACTAGTCGATAGTTTATTAATTTAAAAAAGTAAAAAGATTTCGTGACATGACAAGTTAAAATAAAGTAAATTTCTTAAATGACGTATGGATATTACCTAGTTAAGTAATTTTTGTATTTTTGACAACATATCTCGAAGTAAAATAAAATCAGATTCAGATTCGATAGTTAAAATATTATTTTTATAAATAAAGAAAAGCATCTAAATTCGTGAATGACTATTTTTTTCGTGCGAAAAAATTCTTGTTATTGGGCTTATTATGTTGAATCTACAACAATTAGACGCGTTGGACGAGGGCTTCACCCAAACAACTCTTCAATCACTTAAATTTATAATTAATATAAAGAAATTGACACCAAAAGGTGAATTGTCATTATAAGCTTTTTTTCCCCTAATACTTAACAAAGTAATCCAAATTATACCATGTCCCATAAATATTCCAAACCAAAATTTCATGGACTGACACCTATTTAAATTTTACCCATTTTAAAAAGGTATTATATTTAAGATCCAAACCCAAATTAAAATAAATCTTCAATAGCATTTTGCCAAAAAATTAAGGCAGCCACCTCTCTTCTCAAAAAAAAAAAAGGAGGAGAGAATATAGACTAAATACAGAGTAATTCTTTTCTCCAATGAGATAATTCACACGATTTCACTGGCCGATTCTACTATACATTTCTGCTTTTTAATTAATAAAACATATCAATATAAATCGTAAAAGATTTTTAAAATGGAAAAAGGGAGAAGGAGGAAGGTAAATCGAATGAGGCCTAGGATCAACTGATATAAATTCAACTGAATTCAATATTTTTATGATATAACTTTTTCAATAAGCGTTAAATTTTGAACATTTACTTTTATAATTATAAAATGAAATAAATTCAGTGATAAGAAACATAATGATTGAATCCGTTACCCCTAATTCTAAATCCTTCAACATTCGAATAACTCATTTGATTTTGAATCTTTCTTTACTTGTTTAATTCTAAATCCGTCTCTATTTTACATTTAAATAATCGTTTAATTCTAAATTCGACTGTATTTGACATAGATACACGTACCAATTACTCTAGGAATCTGATGAAAATGATGTGTTGATGGAAGACTGCGTTGATGTCGTTATATTTAGGGGCTAATTGGGGACCCTTATGCCTCAGCTACCCCACAAGCACAACCTTTCTTTTTCACCCTTAGCTTTTTCCTCGACCAATAACGCGTATATGCATGTTTCTTAGCTTTTACTAATTCTATAATCACGATTTTAATTTCTCCACTTCAATTTATAATATTCTACTTCTAGCTAAAGTGCGTTTTGTGTTTGGTACGAAGGAAACTATTTTTTTTCCAAAAAATAAGTGGATTACAAATTTATTTTTTAAGAGTTTGGTAACTGGTAAATAATAAAAAAATTAATTATATGTAATTGTGAAATTAGATCTTAGGTTAACTTACACCGACGTAGCCACGTAGTGATAAAAGTGTCCAATTCGTCGAATAAAAAAACATATATACAAGTAAAATGATATTTGAAATGATTAAATAACATATTTTGGAGACCCTTAACATAGCAACTGTTATTTCTTGACATCCTTGATGAAATTCCTAGCGGCCTCCAC